ACATTAATAGTTATCCACACAAACTTTTAACTGAGATGAATAGTGTTCAGTTAATGTAAATTACATTTTTCATTTTCTTGCACTCTGAAGAATTACTTATTAGTATGTTTTTAGGATGCTTCATTGGAAAGTCTTACATCCTGAGATGATACCTCTTTACTGTACAGTAAAAACAGAGCAGTCACTGTGATTGAATTGAATACAGACTTAAACAGAACTGTATTTAAACACACAAAGATTTTATTCAAGTGGGTGTCCTGTTCTCCATCTGCAGCAGACAGCTGTTAGAATCAATAATCGAACTGAAAAAAACAATGCTTCCTTAGAAAGCAGACATGATCCAATGTAAACAACACATGGCCATATTTTTCAAATGTACATGTAACTCTGCCAGTGGCAAATGAGATGATAACCAGTGCTCCTAAAGATAATGTATTGTAAATCATTAAGTAAGAGTTTGGATACTGTATATTGAAGGCAGCGTAGAAAGGAAACCTCTAGCAGCATATCAGCAGTTACAGGTGAGCTGACTCTTGAACTCGGCATCTGTGCATGTTACGTCACTGGACTTTGTATTCCAGAGAGAGATGGGACAGGAGTGTCAAAGTTAAGAAGTGACCTTTGACCTCCTCACCAGCCTCTGATTTCAACACTCAGGCCTTTAACAGTGGGACTCTTTTTCATCAACGGGGAAATAACCATCCTTACTAGGAGGGGCCTTCTGATGGAGGCTCCCGCCATCTGCTGCGAAGACAGCGAGCAGCTTCTCTTGCTCTTGCTTTGTCTTTGGTAACTCAGTAGAAGGAGTGGTCAAGAAAGCAATGCGCTGTGAACACAGTGAGAGGAGGGATACAGATAGGAAATGAAGGGAGAGTGAGACACCCTAATCAGTAGAATATCAGAACACCAAATTGACAGGATCTAGGCTGACTGTTATATTTTATGCTTTAAAGAAGACATATTATGCTGATATTGAATATGTGAAATGAGAATATGACATATTCAAATGAGAAGTTTGGGTTATTACTTAAAGGTTTACATTCTCTAATGTTCAGAAAACACATCACTTTACTCATGCTGTCCATATCTGCAGGTCCTGCTTTCAGCCTCTTTCTGAAACACTTGGGCTGTGTCCAAAAGGACCAATTCATTTACTAACCCATATTTTACTATATAGGGTCTTCTTTATAGAGTACTATGTAGTGAGCACATCAGAAAAAGAAAAAAAATGCATTTGGACACTGCTCGCTCTTCTGGCGCAGTGAAAAATCACGTCTTTGTTTTAGGAATACAATGTACAACAACAATAACGGTGGCCGGTAGAAAATCCCACAGTAAATTTTAAATGTTTATTTTACACTTAATTAAATACTTAAATACTTAAACGATAAAACCACATTGAATTGCCCTCTTAAAATGTAGAGATATACTTCTTTGTCTCAGTTTGTGCTGTGATGTCTAAATAGTAGACAAGTAGTATATATTGACTAGTGAGTGATTTGTGACACAGCCTTGGTCCTTGCTCCTGTCTCTTTACCTGGTTTTGTTAGGGGGTATGTAAGACTGGCTGCTAGGTGAGCATTATGTCAGTGTGGCCCAACAATTAGTATCGACCAGAATACTTACAAGGGGTCACAGGGGCTATTAGTAAATAATACACTGGGGAAAAAATGAAAATGCTTCAATTACCTTGTATGTTCTTGCCTAATTGTTCAATTGTTTTTTGACCACTTAGGAGCAGTGCATACATATAGATATATGTATTGGCATATATGTATTGGCAAACATTCAAGTGATGAGGAGCATTTATTTGTAGTCATGCTTGCCACCTGCTGAATTGTCCAAATATTCAGTCCTTTTTGAGCTCGGGTTTGGTCTCAACCAGCTACTTAGGGAAACATCTGGCTCTTAAGGTGCAAAACGCTCCACTATATCAGTCAACAAGTAATTTTCTTAGCAATTTTGCACTGAGGATGTCTACTGTAGGTGGAGAAGGCCGACTCCTACCCTGCCTCTGATTGGGTTAGGCTTACGAATAAGGGATGACGGGTTAGGATTAGGTAACAAAATCGGTGAATGATAATTTTATTCCACCTATGGTAGGAAAAAATAACAGGACACAAGATTTTCAAGAGCAGTGAATAAATGGAAATACTGGCTGAAGCATAAATGCTGCATAATGTTTAAACACTGAAACAGAGGGGGACATTTTCTCCTACAAAGGACAGTTTTAGATGAGCATACCTCTTTCAGTGTCCCAGGGGTGTAATACAGTTTCCCTGCTGCCCAGAGAGGGATACACAGCATGGAGGTCAGGGCCAGGATCCAGCCCAACCCATTCCCCCACCACGGGTATGTGTAGACATTGTTGTACTTCAGAGGTGAGTACTTGATCAATGCAAACGCAAAGGTTCCCTGGGTTCAGAGACAAAAAGGAATATTTTATTGTTTGGATTTGTAATATGATTTAAGTCAGTGGTTCCCAAACTAGGGGTCAGGACCTTTTGGGGGTTTCCAGACATCAATAAAATGTAAAATCAATTTGAAAAAGTATGTTTCAAACATTATTGCAACAAAAGACAAAAACTATTGAAATTATACCATAAAAATGTCATCAGTGTTCTGATTTTCTTTGCCCCCACGAGACCCCTCTCTTGATTATGACTGATTAGCGACATCATCAGTTGCAATACGTCATATTGCAGCACCACAGGGAATGAAAGTTATTTATTTTTTTGCTAAGTAGCTCAAAATAATATCCTTTTGCTTTAACATTTATAGGGGCTGAAAATCTCTGGCACAGTTGAAAAGTTTTGAAACTCCTGAACTAAGTAAATAGGTTTTTGTAGCCATTAACCCCATTTCACACATGTAAAGCGTCCTTGGTCTCTTGAAAGGCACTATATAAATTCAACTTATTATTATTGTTGTTATTTCAACATTAACATTAACCACTAACTCATTTTTTAAGTATGCAGGCTTATTATTTATTTATTTATTTATGGTTATGTATCTTCAACAATGGCCACCAGAGGCTGCTCTTCTTTCAATATAGCAGTGCAAAAATGGGAGAACTAGAGCTTGATAAAATGAGAATGCGAGTCAAACTTACAAAGCACGTGGCAGGGGTGAAGAAAAGCCAGCAGTACTTGATGATGGGACTCGGACGATAACCAATCATGTCCTCTATGTTGTCATAGAAACGGTCAGCACCTGCAATCAAGGAGGGATGAGGGAAACAAAATGGTCACAATCACAATCATCTACATCATCAGTGAGACAAATTACTGTCTGGTACCTTAATTAGACTTTACTTTGATTTTTAGCTCAACTAATTATTTCTTATCATCTATTTTGATTCATTTAAACATGAAAAACAAACATTTAAATAGAAACAACACACCCCTCCCTCAGCCTCAGCCTATCAACAAAAGAGAACCCTTTAAAAAAAATGTATGAGCTGATTGAAAGAGCAATGGGTGAGTATGAATGGTGAGACAAAAGCTTTTGTCTTTTAAATGGCCCATTCAAGTCTTTCTGCATAGCATGGGGGGTAACACTCACCATAAATCCAAGCGATGCAAAGAGTCTCAAAAACAGCCACGAAGAGTAGACACATCCCACTGGCTGCATAGTAGTCAAAGAGCTGGAAGACGTACATTCCTCCCTGTGCAGGACAAACATGTGCATGCAACAACTGAGACACTGCATTTTATGAAAGCCACTGTTGTTGAAGGTGATTCTTTAAAGTAGAATTCATTGAAAGCACACAGCTAATGAAGAATTTTAACAAAAACTCACTAACTTCACTACTTTGATTTGGAGAATCTGTCATCTGCAATCTGAAATCCGTAGTAAGAAAATGTGCTGGTTCCATTCATAATTTGTTTAGATTACTAACATTTCATCAGCGTGGAAAAAAGAATATCTTCACTTCAAGGTTTTGATCAACCCACTATAACAGTTCCACCTTTATTATCCCCTTTACACTCATTTTATTATAACTGATAGTTCTGCTTGTTTGATATCACAAGGAAAAAACGCATTTATGTTGGCAAGTTCTATGATTCAAAACATACAGATTATTTGCTTGTTTCTAATATCTGCAGTGGCACTAACCTCCGTCAGCATGATTAGGCCCATGAGGAAGGACACCACGGACACTGCCAGGATGAAGAGCTCCCTGCGGTATTTACGGCGGAAGGTGGAAGGATACATGTCCACCATGGCCGTCACCAGGCTTTCCACACAGACAAACTGATCAGGAGGGAAACAAAACACGTAAGATGTGTGTTTACATGTTTCTGTACGTGTGAATGTTAGTATATGCCTTTTGTATTTGTGCAGTTGTGGTCTCATGTGATGGTCTCACTTGACTGTCCAGACCCAGAAATACGATCATAATGAAGAAGAAGCAGGCCCAGAGGGGGGAGAAAGGCATCATGGACACAGCTCGGGGATAGGCTATGAAGGCCAAACCTGGACCTGGGTTAGAGGTCAAATGTTTTCTCTTTAAAATGTACATTACTGATCATTCCTGCTAATGTTAATGCTATAAAACTACAACATCATATCACTGATACCATTAAAAACAACATTTTAAGAAGCCCTCGATAGAAGAACAGAAAATATGAGACAGAAGGCAGTAGAACTAGAATTAAAGGATGGAAAACAAGGCTGTTTAAACACAATGACCATACGGCAAAGGAAACAATCCACCAACCAGATTCAGCCACCTCTGAGATTGGTATGTTCTGCTCGTAGGACATGAAGCCCAGGATGGAGAAGATAGCGAAGCCTGCAATAAAACTGGTGCCACTGTTTAGGAAACAGAGCGACAGACAATCCCTGGAAACAACACAGAGATAAATAATGAGCAGAAACCTAGTTGTGTTTACAGAAGGAGAGAACAGAGATTTGATTTCCTGCATATAAAAATAAATTCTTGACAATCACACAGCAGGCTACGCATTACTGACATTGAGGACAGTGTAAATATATGAAGTATTGATCATGATGCTAACTGCTGTAGTCCACACCTGTAGCAGTTGTTGTTATATTTGTTGTAGCTTCCCAGCGCAGTGAGGCAGCCCAGGCAGATGGCATAGGAGAAGAAGATTTGTGTTCCGGCATCCATCCATACCTGAGGATAGAATAGAGAGAAAATAATCAAAGAGAAAAAAATACACTTACAATTAACACATCAAGGAAAAAAATGTAAACAAAACAATCACTTTTTATTGCACACCTACTGATCATATACATAAGTTTGTACAAGAATCAACTTTAAATTATGTTTGTGTCCACAGCCAGAAAACCCATAACCTCAAACCATCTATATATCTGACCTGTCGGGGCTTTCTAAGCCGATCAGGACTCAGATACAGAATGATTACAGTATTTAGTTAAAACAGACTCAGCTAAAGAGTGTAACTAGTCATCAGGATTTCTTTTGTTCTGTATTTTAGTCTACATACATAATACATATTTCTAACATTCTCCTGAGGATCCTCCTGAGTGAGTTCAAACCTAAAAACATGAGAAAGGACAGTGTAGTGTTATAATAACACTGATGTTTCAGTGTTTGTAATGACAAGAAACATCTCATTAACAATATTTAAAATAATTTGGCAAAAAAATGTGTCTTACTACATGAAATGTTGGAGATTCCACCACATCTGCCTCAGACTCCACAGAAAAGTGGTCATTGAGCCTTTTTAACCAAGTCCTTCTGAGACTTCATACTAAAAGTGTTACCACCACTCAAACTACCTAATTTCTCTTTCAAACACAATCTAACTCCTATTGAATGCTAAAACTGTTTACTCCAAAACCTCACCCTCTCAACCCCACCACCCTGTGACCACCCACCCTGCAGACCTATTATCTGTCCCAGTCATTTCCAGGCATTAAAAACAGCACATCCACACTTTCTCTTTGAGCACTCACTTGCACAAAAACATTCAAATGAGCTCCCTTTCTATTCTTGCAAATAAAGAGAAAAAAAACGATTTAAGTGTTCCCAGAGCACTGGGTCATGTTTGAGAGAGCTGGTGGCCAGGACTGCAGATCTCACTGACTGGGGATCCAACAATTCAAGCTCTGGCCACAACATAACACAAATGCAGGTATTACCAAGGTAACAACCCAACCAGTCTAGCTGGTCTTGGCCTGCGTGCACATTGCTTATATTCATCTCCAAAGCCCTGAGAGGGATTTAAGGAGGCCTCTCTATGGGACTTTTACACTGGTTGCAGTTTATTGGCAGGAAAAGAAAAAACTCCATAGTCCCAGTTACTTCGTCACATCACTTTCTGAGGCAGAGGATAAATCTTGAAATTACACAATTGTCTTGGGTGTTGTTATAAGTCCTGCGATAATGGTACCACTGAAAAATAGTGTTGGGAAAACTTGTTTTGGTGGAACACTTGCAAGTGGGGAGATGATAATTGTCATTAAAAACGATAATAAACAATATGCCACAAAAAAAGGTAGAAAACTTATAATTACTGAATCATTGCAAGATAAAAATCTACCTCAAAATATTTTTTTGAATCTATTTTCAGTTTGTAGGCTGCTAGTTAGTTGGTTAGTGAGCAGCAGCCGCCTGCGCCTTTTGTGAAATTAAACTTTAGGGCAGTTCTTAAAAATGATCAATCAGTGTGGGTGAGAATGCTCACAGTATAGCTTATAGTAATTTTTATATTAATTTTTTTTTTCCTATTTATATATATATTTATACTATAAGCAAATATGCTTGGTAATAAAACTTGATTCTGATCATGTGGTCATTTTTTTTATGAAAGCATTTGCAAATAATTGTACATGAGGTTATGATTTTTCATGTATTATTATTGTTTTAATAATATCTACATGTCTGCATGTGTATGTTCAACATGTAAAGCCTCCAGCCTTTACCTGTGGGTCGGACAGTCGTCCCAGGTCAGGGTAGAGGTAGAAGTGGATTCCCCTGGAGGCTCCTGGCAGGGTGACCCCTCTGATCAGCAGGATCACTAACATAGCATACGGAAAGGTGGCTGTGAAGTAAACCACCTGCAGAGAAAACAGCAGAACTTTGTCATCAGGTTTACACTTGTTCTCAGCTTGAAGTAGTTTCTCTCTCTGGAGAAATGTTGTTGTCTTCATTTGTTAGTTTTTCCTTTCAGTGTTTAGTGGAATTTGAGTTGATACAGCTGAGGTTTCCAGTTTCTGTAGTAATGATCAGCAACAACATGGCGTAAAACACATCACCTCCTGCTCGTGTGAGGACAGGTCAAACAAACCGTACAGCAAAAATTTATCAATCAAAACCAGTTAGCTTCCAGTGGTTTAAATGAAAAGATGCAGGAAATCATCAATATTAGCACATGTATTAATCCCATATGGACTTGAGAATTTGAATGTAATGAATGGAGGTTGGGTTTCACCTTGCCAGTTGACTTGACTCCCTTCCAGATGCAGAAGTAGCAGATGACCCAGGCGACGGCGAGGCAGACAACCAGGTCCCAGTTTAAGGAGCCAATGTGATGGATACCTGAGGAAATCCTCAGAACTCTGCGCCTGGAGCACAAACATACACGGCAAACAAGAATTCATTATTCAGTGTTTTTATGTACATATTTTTTTGATTTTTTTCACAAATTTTGGTCTATGTCCTCAGCAGCTAAAGCCAAAAGCCTATGAGAAATCCCAAAGACGACGTAGCAACATGGATATATGGCGAACTTGCAGACACAAAAGGCCATTCGGGGACATAGTCAAACAAAAAGAGCACTTACTCCCAGAACTCAATGACAGGAGAGGTGGCGTTCTCATGGTGATTGATGGAGCTATTCCCCCTCTGAAATACCATACAGGAATCTTGAATGAAGGGAAGACAAACAAAGACATTCAACCCCAGTGAAGAAATCCAAGCTTTCTCTGAGGTTTCTAAGCTACACACAGGCAAGTGAAACAACGCCACCACTGAGACAGAGAAGTGAAACGGTGCAGGAGCGCTCGCTAATCGAGTTATTAGGGGCAGACCTGAAAATAGAAATTACAAAATAAATGAAAACTACAACTTGGAAATTAAAAAACTTGACATTAAAAGAACACTTCTTTCCAAGAGTTAACACCAGCAACACACTCCATCATCAGTTATCTAATTCCTTTCTAATTTTGCTGAGGCCTGGCTGCACCAGATTAACTACACTGGTTAGACTAAACATCTGTGGTTGCTGTTACGGAGCGAGTTACCTGTGTTCCAGGTGTTATTGCAGGAGGCCCAGGGCAGGTCCCACGTGAAGGAGTGGGACAGGAAAAAGATGGCCCAGGCTAACACAATGATGTAGTAGATGTTTAGCAGACCAACAATCACCTGGGTGGCATATCCCACTCCTGGAACAGAAGAACATCAGTCTTAGGGCATTTACTAAGCTGTAAAAGTTTTTCAAAAAGTTTAACTTATGGCCCTTTCATGAAAAAAACTGCAACCATGCAGCTAGATCTAAAAATGTGGTTGAGAGATGGAACAACAATGAAGCCAAATAGTCTGGTATTCTTCCATCCAGTTATCCAATATGTTTTAATGCGATATTGAGATGAGGAATTTGACACTCAACAGCAACATGGGCACCATTAAAGAAGCCTACCTGCAGCTCTTGCCTGGTTACAGCAGCGTGTTTGACGGCTCGCTGAGAATGTTGGAAATTTGATTTAATTTAGAGTCATGTGTGAGAAGCTCCTCTCATTTTATTATATCTAGCAAAAATGTTATTGAATCACTGACAGCCTCCCTGACTGCTCCATTCACTGTAGACAAAGAGGAATAATTTAACCTCAGAGAAATCATCTCTCCAGTGTTTAATTGAACCTTTCCTCAGCTTACTGCTTCTGGCCTTTTAAAATGACTGCGTCCTGTAGTAAATTACATATAGGATAAATTATAATATGCAGGCAGCTGAATGAGACAAGCTTTGGAGAAATGTGACGTCTGCCTGTTCCTTTTTAGCCAATTACAGTTACATGCATCACCCTCTAACATCATGGGATCTGTATGTAACATGCACACATACACATTATTCTCATACTGTATGTGCACAAATGCACACAGTGAACATGAATCATTAACATACATCACAAATATTTGTATTTATCCTGTGTTGTGCACAAGCATTTACATTCCAAACATCATACACATGTAATTCCTCACAATCTTTTGAAAAGTAAAGAAAACATTGTAATGATGAAATAAATGTAAAAACTAGATGGGGCTAAAACTTTGAGGGTGATGAGTTTTAGCCACTCTTAGTGTTGTTAAGTTTTTAGAGTGTTAAGAAAATAGTTACACTACCTTCAAACAAAGGGCAGATCTTCCTCCAGCAGGTGATGCCTCCCTCGCTGGTGTACTGACCCAGAGCCGTCTCCAGGAAGAAGACCGGGATCCCACAAGCAAAGAGGAAGATGAGGTATGGGATGAAGAAGGCACCTGACATAATCACACAGATTTAAGTTCACCCACATTTAAAAAATAACCATATTAAGTCCTAATACAAGGTCATGTAAAAGTATTTGACTTCCTATGCAACATTAAAATATATAGATATAATTTGATCACTAGATTTAATGACCTTTGTTGTTTAATTATTAATTTGTGAGGTCTCCTGTGACAGATATTAGCTATGATGTTAGCAGTGGGTCTCCTCGGAATGAGGATGGACGACAAGACAGATCCTCAAAAATGAAGCTGTATCTTTTTTAAATTGGCTGGCTGTGGAACTGCCTCCTCCATGTTAGTGGACCTAAAACGTCAAAATACAAGTGAAACCTTTTCTCGGGGTTCTTCTCACAGTGATGCATGTTCAAGCGTTCATTTTCTTACTAACTTGGTTTTAGTTAATAGACGTTATAAAAATAATATATGAGTGAATATCGACGAGACCTTGATAGCGTGGCTCCATCCCCCAATCGCTACTGGACAGACTTGGCTCTAAATTACGTCAAAAGCTCAAGATGGCAACACATGTATCTGAAATACTTTGACTTTATTTTTGTACAGTGTGAGAAAGTGGAGACATGACATCATCCATGTATGTATACAGTCTATAGTTTGACTGTACCTGTTTCTTACCGCCAGAGCCTAATGTTGTACATGTAATACTACATTCTGAAACTCATTCTTTTTGGTCAAACAGACGCCAAGATAATAGATTCTACATAAAAGATTCCAGCACTCACCTCCTCCGTTCTTATAACAAAGGTAAGGAAAACGCCAGACATTGCCCAGGCCTATAATTTCTCCAGCCACTGACAGAACAAACTCGAGCTTGTTGCCCCACTGCCCCCTCTCTGTCATCTTCTCCTCTGTACTGGGCACAATGTCAAGGGGCCTGTTGTGCCCATTGGAGGGTTCCTCCTTGGACGTGTTCTCCATTTCATCTGTGGGTTCTAAGTGTTACATTGAAAATTGGAGAGAAAACTGAAATTACAAAGATGAATTGGAGCAAATCACATAAATACAGATTGTAAGATGGCAATTGCCCAGAGTTCATGGGAGGGTAGCATGAAGCTGGAGGATCACCATTTCATATTCTGTGTATAATGCTTTGTTTTCAAATGCAAGAGTTAAAGAAGTAATCAAAGGAACCCCATAGTACAAGTTCTACAGTCAAGCTAAACAAATTTGAAGAGTAAAGTCACATAGAGACATGATTACTGATCCATTGACAGAGACAGTCACTGATTCACCTCAAGGCTAAAATCAACAGCATAGTGATATTTTTTCACTATGTACTGTATAGATAGTAAAACAGTTTCAGTCTAATTCAGTTTCATGAACCATGTTCTGCTATTATACATCAGTCCATTATACATCAGTCCAAACCTCTCTCATACGTTAAGCAAAAAACTTTTGTAAGCTTATAAAACCTAAGTTAATTATCTGAAAAGAAATTTGGAACTCCATCAATAAATGATAATATTGAATTATTGACACATTATTTTTACAGTTATTAAGACAAACTAAGTGAAGTAATTCAGAAAAAGTTGATGGAAACATTTATCTATGACAGTTTATGTTGACTCTGACACAGACTTTTTTTTTTTTATTAGTAAAATTTGCTCAAAATTGCACAAACTAAGATGCCTCCAGTAGAATAGAAATGCAGCAGAGTTGAGCCTTTATGTGCATGCTCTTAGTCATATATATTCCCAAAAACTGAATCAAATTCTAATTTCACACAATTGTCCTTAGCCTATATGTTAATGGCTCCTCCTGACCTGTTCACTGAGTTTGATCCAGTTCAGGTCTAGTGTCGGTTTTGTAATTGTACCAGTAGAATAAGATCAGATTAGGTAAGAGTGTGTTTATTTACAGTACGTAGATGTCACAACTGTTTCGACCTTAGAAAGCAACATTTTTTTCCATTTTCCTTTTTAAGTTTATTATAACTTATCTTCTTTTGTTACAGAAACATTATTTCTGCACATTCTACCTGATGATCAATGCCATTTTAATGTAAAGCACATTTATTGTACTATTGTACAAAAAAATATATATATATATATATATATATATATATTACCCTCCAATGTAAAATGAGTATGTTTGAATATTACGTTGTAAATGTACACAGGATCAGGAGGGAGAAGAAATACTTTCAGGACCTTGGCTAGTTCTCAAGGAGAATTCATGTTGTGTATGCAATGTGCAAAAAACTTTCATATGAGCTTTAATATATCATATCCTGCTTCTGCCATGTGACAAAAGTGTGATCAGAATCAACTCGTTGCTATGTAACCACGCTGGATATCAGTCAAGCCCCTGGTCAGATCCTGTTTGTGGAGCAGTAGGAAACAGACAGCTCACTGACTGTGCTCACTCCTGTCAGCTTGCATTAACAGGCCTCTCAGCAGATCTTCTGTTTCCCCTTTAACTCGCTCTGAAACTCTCCAAATTCAAACCCAGTGCTCGCCAGGCTGCAGGAGACTCACTCAGACTAACTCAGTTACAAAAAGTACATGTTGGCTCCAAACCTCTTTCCCATTTTTTTGAGTTACGAAAAAAAACACAAAAGGGTGGAAATCCCATCAGCAGCCCTGTGTGACGCCACCTTTAGGAATGTGCTGCTACTTGCAGAGGTGGAGCAGAAGTGTGACTTTGTATGTGCTACGTGCGAGGAGCTGGAGGTCAGATCCATTTTAGGAGCCAAAACTACTGCGCTGGAGCCAAATGCAGCTCGAGGTAAAAATAGAGACCCTTGTTTTCGTAAGGTGCTCGGTGGGAATGCAGGCTCAGTGCAACAAAAAGCAAAAGACCCCTATACTCTGAGCTGGCAGAGGAGAATTCTCACTGGACTTGTAGCCAGTTGACAGGATTTTTTCATAGTTAGCTGAAGTAGTGGAGAAAGCCAAATACCTCACTTCAAAAACAGCCTTTTAATAGGTGAGACTGAATATTGTCATCGTTTTTAGTTGCAAAAGCAGTGAAGTAGTTTTCATCTATAGAGAAATACAAATCTGCCAAGAGTGAGAGTGACCTCGCCAAGACACCGTGGAGAATAATCCCTGACAATCACTTCTGTCTGAAAAGCTGTGAGCTGTCTGAGCAACTGGATGACACACAGAGTGAAGTAATGAATGAGTGACTGACTGAATGAAGGATTGACTGACTGAATATGTTTTATTGCATATCTGTCATTTTGATGGGCCGCTGATATAAATATGGGCACCCTCAAAGTAATAGTTCAACATTTTAGGAAATAAGCGTTTCTTGTTAAAATCTAGATGTTGCTATAAGCTCCACTATCATGTACAAAGAATTACTAGGGTCTATACAGCAAGAGTCACTGACCCAATCAAACAAGGGATTAGAAATAAAGACCACAAGAAGTCTTAAAAAGGAACAGGCCAAACTTCAACCCTAGCCTTTGACTGACAACTGTTGCTTGTGGTGAGCACTCAGAATGTTACATTATAAATGATATAATATGTATAATATATACATAAATGAATATTTAAAACTGTTACATGTGCCGTCTTTTATTTAGAGGTGATACATGATGTACTATAGTATCGTTACTCAGCCGGTGTGAATGACCCAAACTGAGTCCACATTGTGAAATCGAGGAGACAGTGAAAACCACCACAGAGAACGCTGATAGATCAGTCAGACATTATGGTTCTTGGTCTTATTCGTAATCTATTGATATTTATGAATTCCTATGATGCGAAATAATGCTCTCCCTGTTTCTGTGGGTCGTCATCTCACTTACAAAGGCAGTATATGTGGGTTTCTTGTAGACACATGCAGTTCAGAGTTTAATATCCATGACGTCCTGTGCCCTGGAGCTCCTACACTGAGAATACTTGCAGGCTAATAACTGGACGAGTTACGTATGGAAAAGGACGTGTCCATGTCACACGTCTTGAGGTTAAGATTTTACAGTGGCACCATGTGATGTTGAATAAACATCACTGTTACTTCGACATGGAAATAATATACACAAAATCTGGTTGAAGCAATAAAAAATTGAATAGCAGAAGTTGTTATGACTCATTAGTTTTAAACAACTGATGAAGCTGATTATCTGTTGGGATTTCCTATCAAATCTTTAATAAGACTGTGTGTCATGTGCTTCTGATTAAAGCATGGAGCAGCACAATTGTCAGTGTGGACACTGTGCTGCATGAAAATGTGCACCACTTAGTCATAAAAGCCAATTCCCTGAAGTACAGTCTTTGCACTGGGACTAGTTAGTTACAAATGATTTAATACTTCAAATCTTTCATTATCTGAGATGAAAAACAATACAAGGCTTGGTTGCGTTGCAGAAATCTCCCTGAAATTAATACATGAGAGAGAGAGATCGCAATATTCACTGATCTCTGCCGTCAATGAATAAACATCTACAATGACCAGAACAGTGTCCATATTCAGCAATAATATTAATTATTATCTACCTTTAAATTAAATTAAATCTAATAACATGATCAATGATCAAAGGCACTCACCTTTCATAGATGCACAGTTTTCCAGAAGAGTGTAGGCCACCAAATACAGGCCGATTCAGGTTTCAGTAACATACATGGAGGGGCGGAGATATGAGACACAGAAAACTTTGGTGCAGCTCGCAATGACTTTTTTTTCCCTCTGCTTTGCCCCYCTCTAAAGCCCCCCCCCCCAATCCAGTTCCATTCAGGAACCCCCCAACACACACACACACACACACTCTCGCTCAGCACACTAGAGGTCTGTGCTGTCCCAGTGTGCAGGGCCGATTGCATAACCTTTTGACACACACATTCTCCCAGGGCCTTTCTCTCCACAGAACACCCAGAAACTATGGGGGGAGAGACCGGTCAAATTGTTGAGCGTATACACATGTTTATGCATAACTGGGCAATGGTCGAAAATATTGAGAAAATGATTTAAAAATACAAAAATGCATCACAAACCTTGTAACCGCAAAATAATTTCTGCACGAGATTCATAACAACAGCCTCTGATATGTCACAGTTATTTTGTTCTGGTTGATTTTTTTACGAAAACATCACTCCTGCTTCATGAACTCCTTACTCCACTCGCATCCTGAATTCAAGCCCCCGGAAAAGAGCCTTTCTTCTTCCTTCAACCAGAGTCCCTCCTCAAAGACGCAGCAGCTCATTCAGAACATTTTCCCACCGCAGGGGTCCAGAGTGGCCTGGTTCAGGGCATTTGTTGGAAGGTCACGATCCAGAGGGTCTTTGTGGAGGTAGGATTGGTGGGGGTGGGGAGGGGTGGGGGGGTGATGCAGTGTTTCAGCTTTCTTTCTTTCACAACGAGACCCCCCCCAGTTTGGCAGTTTTAACTTGTAAAGTATATAAGCCAAATATATTTTTCTGAATGAGTCCAAATGTCTCTGTGAGTGTCAGTATGATATCAAAATGTGATGTTGCAGCTCATGACTTCAACGTCCCTGTTTTACACAAACATGTCAGATTCCTCTGCAAATATCAAACCTGCAGCCCCAAACGTGTGTTTGTTATTTGTCAGAAAAATATCATTTAAAAAACAAATTAAAAACATAGTTAAGTCATGCCTTCATTGTCTTTTTCTCTCTCTGCCTGGAGGTCATTTAAGCTTCATTTGATCTTGGTTAGATTATTGTATTTCACTGTTTTCAGTGTTGAGCCAAAAAATCTCGCACCTCGGTACAAAATGCAGCTGCTTGGCTCCTACTATGCAAGAAAATGAGACCTTGTTAGTCGTATTTTAGCCTCTCTTCATTAGTTATGGTCAGTTTCAAGATTTTGTCTTTGAATCATCTTTAAAGCACTTTATGGTTCAGCTCCCAGCTGACTTCCTGCTCCGTTATGAGCCACAGTGCAGCCTCAGATCCTCAGGCAGGGCTCTGTCACGTTGTGACATTTTCAGTCATGGTTCATGTCTTTGTCAGTTTAGGTTTCACATTGCAGTTTAGGCACAATAAAGAATTTTATGTAACCTGTCATCATCACCTATGTGGACTGTGTCTATCTATTCATTTATTGTTTTTCAGAGTGAACATCCTTGTCATTCAGACATTACATTGTTGAAGCTGCTTCCACTTCTTTTTCTTCTGTTTGAACTTCCTGCAATTTGTCTGAAAATCTGAATTATGCAAAAAAATGTTCACCCTGCTACTGAGACCACCTCTTTTTGTCAGACTGTCCAGATCGTGGCCTGAGACACCTTTTACCCCTGTTATTTTGGTTTGGACTAAAATGGCGAGTCTGAAGGCCCGGACCAAACTAGGTATGTATGAAAACACCCTTCAAGGCTAAAGGTTACCAAGCTTTTCCAGTCAAATGTTTCCTTTAAGATTCTTAGTATGAGGTGTTGCATGTTCCCTAAAATGAAAAGTTCTATACTTACAATAACCTATGTATACAAACTGTTTTCACACTAGGTAAAAAAGAAATCCTTATATCTGGTATTATTCAGTGGTTAGGTGCAGCAAAAGTCCAACGTCCAGAGTCACACTTGCAAACATCCACAAGAAAAAAAGACGCAATAGGAGGAAAAACAGAAGGGAGCTCATTAAAAAACTGTATTTCTTCCTTCTGTCTGCAGTTTCCTGCTGCTCTCTGACTGTACAGCCACAGGTCACTGCTCAGATTGTACTATGTTTATTCTGAAGGGCCCATTCTGTCTCTTTACATCAGACTCAAATGTGCTTGTTAATTTAGAAGTGTAGGAGTATTTGATTTAAAATCTCCAGACATGGGAAGTTCAGACAGTGTGGAGGCTCATGGATCTTGATAATGATTATTATGAAACCAGTTTGATTACTGAAACAGATTGCTTACATTGAATTACATTGGGGAACTCAAAGATCAAACAAACTATTCGTGATCTCTAGGAAAAAACTAAAACATATTTCGGGACTGGTTAGCATCCATGCAGCCACAATTGATCATAAACTAGATATCATCACAAGTATATTTCTTTTGCAAACACGAAAACTTTCACTGCTGACTGTATATGAGTGCACTGCAATGCGTTGGTTACAGTGTTACAGAATAAATGTCCATCACACCCTCAGATGCAAATGAAGAGTGTGTTGGCTCCAGGACCTCAGGACCCAACATTCCCCTTAGATCCTGATTTTTATTTGGATCTGCACCAAATTGCACCCACTCATAAATAACAGTCATCTAAATAAGCCTTACTTTTTTGTATATTTAAGATCCATGAGCTTTTCTCTGAGAAATTAATGAAAATGTTGAAAAACAAAGCACAATGTTAAAGAAAGTAGGATACTGTGTCCCTCCACCTAGTTTTGTAGCAATGCATCCAATAATTGTTACGTAACACAGCTTATAATCATTGAGACCAACTACGGCCAGAGGTGAAACGCGACCTTCTTGGCAGAGTTAATAAAAGTGCTCGAGACGTTAAAGCCGCCAATAACAAAATAGTCCCATGTGTATATTCATGTTGACTGCTCCACTTTCCTGTTGTGATGGAACATTTCAGCCTTTGCTCATCATGGTGGTTAAAGTAGGTAAAGGGTGTGTACACAAAGATTACACAATATGTCAACACTGTGATGGCAGATTTGATCGGAACGAACTCTTATACCCTCACTGACCAAACAAGAAACACAGAGTTCAGAGTAAGTCTGACAGACGGTTCGCAGCCTGTTTCATGTTACAAATCCAGAACACTTAATGAAGAATAATCATATTATAACTAAATAAGAAAGTTCAACCAAAATGGTATTTCGTTTTAATCACTGATATGTTGTAGTAGTAGTACTTTTTTTTTTTTACATGTGTTTCATTCCAAAAAAATTGCCCACATGGCTGACAAATAAATTCAATATGACTATTTTAACATAAATTACTGAGTAATGATTGGAATGATTTATGTGGTTATGAATGTTGTATGATTACTTCTTTTTTCATATGCATGCAAGCAGTAGACTGTTAAGTTAAGCCATTGTGTCTGGATCGCCACCTGGTGGCTGGCTGCAATGTTGGTTTCAATTAGTTATGAGATGCTATAGAAACTGTGAGGGGTCATGATAGACAGCTGAGACTGACTCCTGATTGGTTGAGCTTGTGTATTGAAAGGGCCGAGCTACCGCAGGTCCATCCCTCTACTGCACAGACTGTGGCTCCAAATGCTGTTCTGGGATAACTTAGTTTAACTTTTGGATAGAAGAAGGAAGTGGAGATGCATCGTCCATTTTTTAACATCCTTGATGAGAGGTGCATTGAGTGGAGTATTTGTAATGAATATGTTTGTAGTGATGATAAAGTATAAATAACACCAACCCGGACGACATGACATCTCCCTGAAAGTGAAGATAAAGCATCTCAATGGCTCCTCCATATCTCTGATGGCACATGGATCAAACTAAAAGGTCAAAGCATGACTAATAATTTTTTCAAATGCTCTGTTGTTTTTAGTTAATTTGGTTGTGGCAGGGTGTCAGGAGACAGAGTGGGTTGACCACTCAACAGAAGGAGGGCAGTTCAATCCCCCTTTTGCGTGCAGATGTGTCCTTGGGCAAGATACTGAACCCTAAATTGCCTTGTGCTGCACATAGATGCACTGAATGAGTAGGTTGGTGGCAAAACTGTGCTGTAAAGTGCTTTGAGTGACCATCAAGACTACAAAAGAGCAATCTAAATGCAGACTTAATTATTTATTTGATGCTATAAAAATGGGGTGAAATGTACTAATTGACGACTGATACTTACTTGTGATTGGTTCAAGCACATGTACCAAAGTGTCCTCAGAAGCTCCGGACAGGGGCAGAATCATGTTAAAGATGACTGACCTCACTTCCAAACAGCATATGTGCCCATTGAATTACTTAAAGTGAGAGTTCTTCTTTTTTTAAATCTTTACTTTATATTTTTTTGTCATTTGGATTTGTTTAAGAACCTGTTGTGTCCCAGGCTCCACTATCTAATATATCCATGTAATATAACACAGCTGATGTGTGAACACAGGAGATGTACAGTTGATACATGTGCTTCATACATAAAGGGGCCTGTAGACCATGGGTGGCACACAATATAAAAACAAAGGTTGTCCATGTTTAGTTTTTAATACAACACTACAAGTAGCACAGAGTGGATCAGACACTGCTGGGTCATTGGGAAGTGGGTGTTCAGTCATAATTTGCCTAAAGAAAAACTTGGATGGCTGTTTCAGCAATCCAGAGAAGCCACAATCTTCATGTGTTCCTGCACTTATGCTGTATTTGAGCACATTCAATTAAAATGGTCTTAGTTTTAGATGAACTTTTATTTACAGCGCTGCTTCGTCAGTACAATTCAAACTTCATATCTTATTAATTCACTTTGAACAGAGCCCTCCAGTGTTCAGTATGAAAATATACCAGTGCAATCCTTTAACAGCAAAACACACAAGTCTTTGTCTTTATTTGTGTCAAAAGACAGAAATGTCAAGAGGCAGAAAACATTTATTTTTAATATTCATCATGGAATGGATACTCTGGATGGTCGCTCCACCTGCGTCAAAATAAAAAGCATGTAACTTGTATTGCATTACACAGCAGATAACATCATATGACCCACTGCTTATGAAGTAACCTAAAAACTACTCACATCAGCAGCTCCACAAAACGAATATTTTTGTTAAGTGCTTCAATGGCTTTCATCTCGTCATCCGTGAGTGAGAAATCAAATATCTGCATATCAATAGAGGATTATTTTGTGAGAATCATATATTTATAAATAAGTATATTTAAGAATCCTAGCAACTCAAATTTTACTGTCTGTACAAACCCACTGGTATGATTTTATATATCTATAAACTCACCTGGAAGTTGTGTTTGATCCTTTCAGGACTGAAGCTCTTGGGGATCACGACCACTCCTCTCTGGACATTGAAGCGCAGAGCCACCTGAGCAGTGCTCTTCTTGTACTTTGTGCCAATGGAAACAAGCAGCTCGTCCTCCAGCAGAGGGGGACATTCCACATTCACCCTGAACCAGAGACAGGAAAATACCAATGATGCCAGGTTATTATTCTAAGCATCTTTAAAGCGTTGATGGTTTATGATAATTTTTACAAAGGCTGATAAGTTGGTAACTAAGGCTGATCAGACTTTTGCCATCAAGACCTTGGGGCTCTGGAGATTAAACCTGCCAGCACTTTGCCTCTTTTATATCATTGCTTAA